GGCCCTGAAGAAGGAACCCTTTTCGTTGGGGAGGGGCTCCGCGTTCCTTCAGTGTTTCGCAGCTGGCCTCAGGCTTTCCTTATGCTTCCGACAGGAAATCGAAGGTTAACTCATGGAAAAAAAGGGCGTCGTTCCTTATTTAAGGTTCCTTAGGTCAACGCCCCGATTGTACTGATACTATACGTGCGTCGCCCCCCTAGGGGCGACGCGCGCACCGAGAAATCTGACAGCATATGCGTCGTGGCGGGCGTTTTCTGGCCACGCCGCTCGGGAAACGATCGACTACACTATGGGTAGACTATATATATGTATATGTATATCTATGTATGTATATATATATATATATATATATATGTTCGGGTCGGACGCGCGCCTCCAAGGAGGGCATGTAGTATCTGTATGTCCCTGTGCTGTACCGGTCTATGCTCGATTTGAGGCCCGCCCCTTGCGAAGCTTGGTCTTGCTAGTGCAGCTTGTCTGTTCCCGTATCCAGAATTCCGGCCACGCTCGCAGGACAACTCAGCGGGGGGCTTTTGCTTTCTCGGGGCGCGCCTGGCGAGGCTAGTGGCGTGAATCATTGCTGTCCGCTCCCACCTTTCCCCCAAAAACATGGTTAGTATGTCCCTGTGCGTCCCAGATTAAGGGAGCAAAAACCACCCGGACCGGACAATTGGCGTTCACTAGACGGCACTGGGCGCTTCCTAAACAGCCCTGCCTTGATCTCTCCCTTCTGTGGGCGCGTTGACTACAGGCCTCGCGTGTCGGGGTGGTTATTGTCGGGGTGGATTTTCGGCTTTCTACCATCTGGACGCCCGAAATGGGAACGGAAAGAATGGGGACAATGCCCAACAGCAGTTCCTGTTCATTTTGACCAGGACTCGCTGTCCGCGCCGCCGCGGCCTGTGCCCGTTCGAGACAGAGGGCCGCCTGCCCAACAGCGGCCGCTGTTGGTCTGGGACAAAATTTGTTGTTGGGCATTGTGCCCATTCTTTCCGTACCCATTTCGGGCGTCCAAAGAGTCGGCACCACCCCTGCTGCTACCCGCTGGGTCGTATAGATGGGTCGCGCAGGTGGGTCGTAGGCGAGCTGTCGCAGGTGAGTCGCAGGTGGTCGTAGGCGGGCGAGTGCCTAAACTTTCAACAACCTTCAACATCGCTCGGTCGGAGGTGGGGTGGCATTGTGCCCATTCTTTCCGTACCCATTCCGGGCGTCCAACCACAGAGGGCGGCCAGAAGGCCAGGGCCAATGCCACTGCCGGGGCCCTCCGCGCGCCGCGCGGCCCGCGGGGGCGCGCGGCGGCGCCGCGGGCGCCCCCCTCCGCGCAGGCCTCGGGCCGCGGGGGGGCGCGGCCCGACGGGCGGCCGCCGCGGCCCACGAGCCGCAGGGTCGGGCGTGTCCCTCCTGGGTGAGGCATGTTCAGAGCAAGTTTTTGTTGAATGGTCTGGGGACGATGTTTCTGGCATTTCTTTGATTATGTTGGAGTATGTCTTGATTTATTTATGTATTTATTTATTTGGTCGCCCCCCCCCTGTGATCATACATTTCGTCGTCGTCGTCGTCCTCCTCCTCCTCCTCCTCCTCCTTCTCCTCATCTCGGGGGAGAGGGGTAGGGGGGGAGGAGTAAGCGGAGGAGACGGAGGAGGGTGTCCGCGGGGGCCGAACGGGAGACCGAACAACAGGAAAAAAAAATGAAAAATAGGAAAAACCTTTGCTTCCACAGGGGAAAAAGGAAAAAAACAACTCCCCCTTCGAGGGCGTGGAGGAGGAAAAAAAGGGGGAAAAAAAACACCTCTCCTCCGTCTCCTCGAGAAAGAGGAAACAACTTCGCCTCAGAGGGCGGGGAGGGTGGAAAAAGGAAAAAAACGCCCTGCCCTTGTCTGTTTTCTCCATTTGGGGAGACGGGGAGGAGGAAGCGGAGGAGTAGGCGGAGGAGACGGAGGAGGGTGTTTTTTCCTTTTTTCCCCCTCCCCCTCCTCGGAGGCGGAGTTTTGTTTTTCTTTTCCCCTGTGAAAGCACAGTTTCCTTTTTTTATTTTTCCGTTTTTTTCATCTTTTTCGCTCCCCCCCATGGGGCGGCGGGGAAACCCCGAGGGGCCGAACGGGAGAGCGAAACACATGATAAAAAGGAAACAAATTTTAAAACCGGTGTTTTCACATGGAAAAACATGCAAAAAAACTCCGCCTCCGAGGGCGGGGAGGAGGAAACACATGAAACAAGCACCCTCCTCCGTCTCCTACGCCTAGTCGACTCCTTGACTCAACGTTCCCGCCCGTTTTCTGCCGAATTCCGTTCCTCTTTCTCTCGTTATCTCTCCTCTCTTCTCCTCCCCCTCTCTCTCTCTCTTGACTCTCTCTCTCTCTCTCTCTCTATCCTCCTCCCTCTCTTGACTCTCTCTCTCTCTCTCTTTCTCTCTTTTTCTCTCTCTCTCTCTCTCTTCTCCTCCTCTCCTCTCCCTTCCTCTCTCTCTCCTCCTCCTTCTGTCTCTCTCCTCCCTCTCTTGACACTCTCTCTCTCTCTCTCTCCCCTCCTCCTCCTCCTCTCCTCTCCTCCCATTATATGTACCCCGCCCCGCCACAAAAGGAATCGATC